GTTGCAGTATACTATCTATTAGTTGCAGTATACTATCTATTATTTACAGTATACTATCTATTAGTTGCAGTATACTAAATTAGTTGCAGTATACTATATATTAGTTGGAGTGTTCGATAAGCCCTGTTCATGGGGTTACCATGTCAACCGTACCCGACGGTTAGCTTTGAGCTGAATACCCGTCTCTGGTGCTTGTTTCTCCGTCCGCATACAATGGTCTGTCCATTCGAGTTGCATACAATAGTCTCTCCATACAAATTGTTTACGTTTAGGAGATCACTGTGTATATCAGCCGTTGCACACAATGGCCTGTCCATACTAATTGTTCACGTTAAGGAGATCACTGTGTTTATCAGCCGTTGCACACAATGACCTGTCCATACTAGTTGTGTACGTTAAGGAGATCACTGTGTTTATCAGCCGTTGTGGCGAAGGGATCGTCGAACACTTTCTGATAATTCGATTCATTGGAAACCCGAACTCGGAATTCTCCTTTGTGTTTCGAATACACTTATCCGAATACTTTTTGGTATATCTAATACACTTACCCGAATCCTTATTCTAATTCCTACTACACTTACCCGAATACTTTTTTTGGTATTCCTAATACACTTTCCCGAGCCCTTATTTTAATTCCTGGTACACATCCGAATCCTTACTTTAATTCCTGATACACTACTACAGCGGTGGCGAATCATGACCAAATCCCGCACGCTTTCATATTGGGATGTCAGACCAAATCTCCGGCGTTGGCGCAGAAGTCACTGCAATCGCTCAATCGACTGGTCATGTACAACGCATGCTCAACGGTAGGACTATGTGGATACGTATAGTACAGTACTCACTGTATTTATATAGGGTTATGTGAATATGTATAGCAACAGTACTCACTGTATAAATGTAGGGTTATGTAGGTATGTGTAGTAATTGTACTCACTGTATATATGTAGGGTTGTCAGTTGACTGGTGATGTACAACGCATGCTCAACGGTAGGGTTATGTGGATACGTATAGTAACAGTACTCACTGTAGTTGCATTCTGTATGTGTGTGTGGCACACACATACATCCATAGTTGGATAGATATTCCTACTTTCATATATACCATTTCGTTCTGGATACTAACGTATACCATATTGAAGGCTATAATGGATTTGTTGTGGGTCTTATTAGTTGAACAGATGGGGCTTATGTGGGCTTTAAGTTGAAAAGATGGTACTTATGTTGGTCTTATTAGTTGAACAGATAGGACTTGTCAGCGTGATGTAAACAATCAATACGATGTATTTTGATTCTTGGGTTTGCACTCAGAACATACATACACACACACATACACACACAAAATAGCACGTCCACACATACATACATGCATCAAAACCAAAGAAAGTTTAGACCATACATTAAAATCAAAGAAATTTTAGAACATACATTAAAATCAAAGAAATTTTAAAGATAAAACAGAATATCGTACACACACATACATACAAACACACACGCACACACACGCGCACGTAGTACACACACACACACAGACACACACACACACACACACACACACACACACACACACACACACACACACACACTATATATATATATATATATATATAATATATATATATATATATATATATATATATATATATATATATATATATATA